AAGTAGAAGGAAGGAAATAGTAAATATCAGAGCAAAATAAATGACATAGAGACCAAAAAAACAATTCCAAGGATTAATTAATCTAAGAGCTGGTTTTTCAAAAAGATAAATAAGATAGATGGACCCTTAGCTAGACTCACCAAGAAACAAAGAGAGAGAACCTAAATACCCAAAATCAGAAATGAAAGAGAAGTAACAACCGACACCACAGAAATACAAAAGATCGTTAACAGCTACTATGAACAACTATATGGCAACAAATTTGACAATCTAAGTGAAATGGACAAATTTCTAGAAACACACAGTATCCCAAAACTGCACTTGGAAACTTGAACAAACTAATAATAACTAAGGAGATTGACATGGTAATCAAGACTCTCTAAGCAAACAAAGCCCAGGCCCAGATGACTTCACAGGGGAGCTTTACCGAACATTCAAAAAAGAACTAACACCCATTCTCCTCAAAGTATTTCAAAAAATTCAAGAAGAAGGAAGACTTCCACACTCATTTTATGAGGCCAGCAGAATCCTAATTCCAAAACCAGAAAAAGACACTACAAAAATAGAAAACTACAGGCCAATATCCCTGATGAACATAGACACCAAAATCCTGAACAAAATAATAGCAAATCTGATCCAGCAACACATCAAAAAATTATTCACCATGACCAAGTGGGATTCATCCCAGGGATGCAAGGATAGTACAATATTCACAAATCAATTAATGTGATATACCACATAAACAAAATGAAGAATAAAAACCACATAATCATATCAATAAAAGTTGGAAAAGCATTCGACAAAATCCAGCATCCATTTCTGATAAAAACGCTCAACAATGTGGGAATAGAGGGATCATATCTCGATATAATAAAGGCAATATATGAAAGACCTATAGCCAACATCATACTCAATGGGCAGAAACTAAAAACATTTCCCTTAAAAACAGGAACAAAACAGGGATATGCGCTTTCACCACTCTTATTTAACATTGTATTGGAAGTCTTAGCCACAGCAATCAGACATAAAGAAAAATAAAAGGGATCCCAATTAGAAAGGAGGAAGTGAAACTGTCATTATTCGCAGATGACATGATATTGTACATAGAAAACCCTAAAGACTCCATCAAAAATCTCCTAGATTTAATAAATGTATTTGACAAAGTAGCAGGATACAAAATTGATCTCAAGAAATCGACGGCATTCGTATACAGCAATGATGAACTCACAGAAAGAGAAATTGAAAAAACAATCCCATTTACCATCGCGGGAAAAAAAAATTAAGATACCTAAGAATAAACTTAACCAACGAAGTAAAGGACCTATTTGCAGAAAACTACAGGACATTGAAAAAAGAAATAAAGGAAGATATAAAAAAGTGGAACCACATACCTTGTTCATGGATTGGAAGATTTAACATCATTAAAATGTCCATATTACCCAAAGCAATCTATAGATTCAATGCAATCTCCATCAAAATACCAATGACATACTTCACAGAACTAGAAGAAATACTTCAAAAGTTTATATTTTTGGAACCAAAAAAGACCCTGAGTAGCCACAGCTATCTTGAAAAAGAAGGACAAAGTAGGTGGGATCACAATACCAGATATCAGGATATACCACAAAGCCACTGTAATCAAAACAGCCTGGTACTGGCAGAAGGACAGGCATATAGACCAGTGGAACAGAACTGAAAACACAGAAATGGACCCAAGGCAATATGCTCAATTAATATTTCACAAAGGTGGCAAGAGCATACAGTGGATAAAGACAGCCTCTTTAATAAATGGTGTTGGGAAAATTGGACAGCTACATGCAAAAAAAATGAAACTAGACCATCAACTTACACCATATACAAAAATAAACTCAAAATGGATAAAAGTCTGAAATGTGACCCGGGAATCCATAAAAATTCTAGAAGAAATGTAGACAACAAAATTTCGGACATCATACGCAGCAGAATTTTCACTGATACATCACCTAAGGCAACAGAAACCAAGGAGAAAATGAACACATAGGACGACATCTAACTAAAAAGCTTCTGCACAGCAAAAGAAACAATCCGCAAAATGGAAAGGCAACCCACTGTATGGCAGAACAACATTGCCAATGATACATTAGATAAGGGGTTAATTTCCAAAATATATAGTGTACTCATACAACTCAACAAAAGGAAGACAAAGAACCCAATTTAAAAATGGGCAGAGGAACTAAATAGACACCTCTCCAAACAGGACATACAAATGGCCAAGAGACATATGAAGAAATGCTCAACATCACTAATCATCAGAGAGATGCAAATTAAAACAACAATGAGGTATCACCTCACACCTGTAAGAATGACTGCCATCAGCAAATCATCAAACAAGTGTTGGCGAGGGTGTGGAGAAAAGGGGACTCTAGTACACTGTTGGTGGGAATGCAGACTGGTGCAGCCACTATGGAAAACAATATGGTATTACCTCCAAAAATTAAAAATTGATCTTCCATTTGACCCAGTGATCCCGATTCTAGGAATATAACCTAAGAAGCATGAAACACCAATCAGAATGAATATATGTACCCCATGTTCATAGCAGCACTATTTACAATAGCTAAGACCTGGAAACAGCCCAAGTGTCCATCAGTAGACGAATGGATGAAAAAACAGTGGTACATATACACAATGGAGTACTACAAGCTGTAAGAAAGAAAGATCTCTTATCCTTTGAGACTACATGGAGGGACCTGGAAAGTACCATCCTAAGTGAACCAAACCAAACAGAGAAAGACAAGTATCATATGATCTCACTTATTTGTGGAATATAATGAACATAACAGTCTGAGGAATGGGGTAGTCCCAGAGACGTGGAAGTGGGGTACAGACTGACAATCCCCAGAAGAGGGGATGGTGGGGGAGAGATAAACCACAGAACTTATATGCATGTATGCATGAACAATGGACATGGACAACAAAGCTGGGGACAGGGCAGGGAAGGAGAGGGAGGGGGAATCAGTGGGGGGGGGAGGAGAAACATCTGTAACAAAAATAAATAATAAAACTAACTAAATAAATAAGCAAAAAAACACAAAAATAAACAAACAAAAAAACATCTATTGGCTGCCTTCTGCATTTCCCCCTGGGGATCGGGCCCACAACCTGGGCATGTGCCCTGACCTGGAATCAAACCAGCAACCTCTTGGTGAATGGGTGAGTGTTCAACCACTGAGCCACACCAGCTTGGCAGATTTGTGAATTTTTCTTTTTTTGAAGGGTGGTGAGTAAGAGTTGCGGTGCTGTCTACTTCACGTTTACTGACAGGTCTAATCTTGCATTTATCCCAACTGCTGAAGAATTTTGTTTTATTTGTTTTCCAGAAAATAAGAAGTTTTCATTTAGAATAATTTTGTGACTCATTCCATTTAACGTCTTCCAACATTAATTAATTAATAGACTCACCCAAAATGTATTATTAAGTGCTTAGACTCTGCCTAATCCTATGCTAATAAGTAGTGTTGCCTCTGGAACAGAAGACAAACGTGGAAAAACAGGATACTAAGTAAAAGAGAGGAATTTGATTGAGGGGGAAAACATTAGAACAATTTCTGTGAGGAAACAGTCACAGAAATAATTCTAAAATCCCAAAGTGACTGAACATAACTGCCTCTTTAGAGTATTGTGTTAGGAAGCTCTTCACTGAGCCTTGCCACTAGAGGGAGGTGGCGCATGTGAGATGCCTATTCTTAGATAGAAAATGCAAACCTTGAAAGAAAGATTGCTGACTGACTTGGTTGCCAGTTCTAAGCAAAGGAGTTCATATGTACAGCCACAAGAGGGGGCTGTTACAGCAGCAAACTGAATGAAGAGCCTTCCAGGGTGAGTTAGAGGTTAGCAGGGAGTTGTGAAAGAACATATTTCCTCTCCTTTGTTTCCTTGTACCTCAGGATCTCACCCTGAGGGTCTGCAAGCCTCAGGACAGGAATGAGCCCTTCCCAAACGCAGACCAAAGAGCCCACCCTTAGTGTGAAGAGAAGAGAGAAGTGATTAATAGTTTGATTTCAAATGGCCAACTATTTGTCCCTATAGTGAAATAAAGACATTTAGTTACTGTAGCAGAGAAGGATGAATAATTTTAATTCTATTCTATCCCATTTTGTTAATAATAACCACCTTTGAGAATAACCAGAGGAATTTCCTTATATTTATTTCCACCTCCCTTGTCAAAAGTCTTCATTTCATTTCTCTTTCTAAATCTTCTCTTCCCATCTCTTCCTTCGCTGCTTTTCTCCTTAGTGTCTTCAATGCCGGCCACCCCTAGGCATGGGCATGCAGGTAAGAATATGTCTGTTAAAGAGGGTTTAAGTGGAGTAGAAGTAAATACCATTCAAGTCATTGGTTCCTGTATCAAGACCAGAGGCATCCAACAATGTCCATCAGGAAGATGTTTCAGACATCGCCCCAGGAGCCAATGTGGGAGACCTGAGCACCAGACAACCTGGCTGTTAGACTGGGCTCTGTTTCTTACCCTGTCAGACTGAGCACAGCAGTATTATACAGCTGTGAGGTTACTTGTGTCATATATGTTGCAAATATCTTCTTCTACAGTGTCATTTGATTTTTAACTGAGCTTATGGTATTTTTGTTTGTTTTGACCAGAAAGATGTTTCTAACTTTGGAAGTTAAATTATGTATTATTGTTCCTGAGATTTACTTGCTCTGGCTGGGAATATGGATAAGAATTCTCTTCTCCCTTTACAGCCCAAGGCTCAACATAGGTAACTAAGATTAAAGGATATTTTATACCAACTCAGTGGTGTGTTTTGCCATGTACCAAAAATGAAGGATTATTAATCTCCATGTACTTGATGCTACTTATTCATTTCACTAGGGCATAAACTGTTTTGAGTTTGAACTTTGGAAATGATTTCAGTATAAACTCTCTGAATTAGGACTAGACATTGGGAAAACATTCTTATCCTCTTTCTAAATTATGTTTAATACTGGGGATAAAAGTAAACCCCACCAAGAGACTGCTCTGTCTTTCACTGACTCTTGCCTGGGAAACGCCCAACTGAAAGCTTCCTGGTTGAGACTGTGCTAGTGGCTGCTGTGTGGTTGTTGGGACCTCCCCAAACCTAGCAGCACACAGGTTCTGAGCTCTGAGGCCTGAAACCCCAGTTTTCACTTGAACTATGAGATCAGTGACAAGAATTACTATTCTCCTAACTTTGGGTAAGTGATCTGGGTCTGAGAAAGGATAGCTTTCACAGCTAAAGTCAAAGGTCAGGAATCTGCTGCTTCTACTTCTCCCACTGTACTTTACCAAATGCTAGGTGGAAATGCATCTGTTTGTTTCCATGTCTCTGTGTGTTTCTCTAGAAAATCTGGGCATCACTGTGAGAAGGTTTTCATACCCACTACTATAGAAGATCCCCTGAGTCTCACAGCTCGGAAGCTGTAAGGAGCTTTGGGTGCATTGACCCCAAAATTTATGGAATACAACCATTGATCTTTGGCATGTGGCTCTGGATAGCTCAACAACAGATACCAGTAATATTTCTCTTGTCCTGTGCAACAAACATGAAAATGCACATGTAGAGGACATGGCCAGAGAGGGGAGTTCAGGAGTGCTCATGAACCTGACCTTAGACGCACCGAAATTTGACAATCCAGAGCTAATCTATTGTTTCTCAACCCCTTAGGTATTATGGGTGATGCTAAATCCACTCAGCCAGATGCAATGGAGAGTGCTGAAGAAGAAGCTGTGCACCTGCCCTGTAACCACTCCACAATCAGTGGAAGTGAGTACATATATTGGTATCGACAGCTTCCCCACCAGGGTCCAGAGTATGTGATTCATGGTCTAAAAGACAATGTGACCAAAGAAATGGCCTCTCTGATCATCACAACAGACAGAAAGTCCAGTACCTTGATCCTGCCCCAGGTTACCGTGAAAGACTCCGCTGTGTACTACTGCATCGTGAGTGACACAGTGGGACAGATGTGTCAGCACCTGTGCAATATCCTGCTGGCGGGAAGGGAAGCAGCAGCAGCATCTCAAGAACTCACTGCCCAAGAAAGAATGAAAAGAAGCCAAGAAGACGAGGAAGAAGCACTTATATTATTGAAAGGGCAAAGAAGCTTGCAAGAAATCTAAGAATCAATAGTGAACCTGCAATGAAAGGGGAAGGAAATTAGAAATTTTTAAAAATATGTTTTTATTGATTTTTTTTTTTTTTGGAGAGATAGAAACACCAATGTGAGAGAGGAACATTGAATGGCTGCCTCTTGCATACCCCTACTAGGGATCGAGCCTGCAACCTGGGCATGTGCCCTGACCGGGAATTGAACCTCTCAGTCCATGGGATCATGCTCTATCCATGGGACCAGGGTCCATGCTGAGCCACACCAGCTGGGCAGGAGAATTTGCCATTATTTTGTTTTATCAAATGTTGCTTTCTATGTAGAGCTCACTAAAACAGGTAAGAGCCTTGGCCAATTTGGCTCAGGGGTGAGAGTGTCGGCCTGTGGACCTGAGAGACCTGGGTTTGGTTCCTGCTAAGAGCATGTACCTCTGTTGCAGTTTTTTCCCTGGCCCTGGTTTGCGCCATGTGAGTAGCAGCCAGTCTCTCTCACATCAATGTTTCTCTTTCTCTCTTCCTCCCTCTCCCCCTCCCGCTCTATCTGAAGATAAATGCAAAAATATCCTCAGATGAGGTTAAAAAAAATAGGTGAGATCAATCTTTTAGGTTGTCCTAAAGACTTTCTTCCATTGGACCCAGGGAAGTGCCCATGGTCTGGGTATTGCATCATATTAGTTGTTCCAACTTCTCAAAAATTGAAATGAATTTCAGAAACTGAGTTATTTGTCCTTGAGAAAAATTTGGAATTTCTTCATTGTTTATCTGTAGTAGACACACTTAGATATAGATGATTTGGTGGAGGAATATTTTTAAAGGGCAAATATGTGGATATTAATTTAATTTTAAAATTTATGTTACAACATTTCTAATATTACACAAAAAATACAACAGATATCTCTTCTCATTGTAAAACTCAACATATTACATACATTTGTAATATAAGAAAGTAAGAAACTAAATAATATACTTACTTTCCCCAAAAGTTTTGTAGAGCAAAACCTAAGCCCATCTCCATTCCATTTTCTCTTCAACCTGTAATGACTCATTGGGACAGTTGGGAGTGTCCTGAGAATTATAGATTTTTTCTATTACAAAGATTCTCTTATAAATATCTATCAAATGTTCATACATAAATTGGATCATATTTGTATGTTTATTTGGAAATTGTTTTTACTTAAAACATATTTTGATATATGCTCATACATAAACACATATGTGAACTTTATAGTATGCTTATATAATTTAACTTTCTCACTTATTAGCAATATTTAAATTTTTTAAATATTTAGTTATCATAACCTGAATCATACAGAATATATATTTCTTATTCTTATTCTCAGAAGTAAAATTACTGGGTCAAAAGATATGCCTATTTTATATTTTTGTAGATATTGAAAAATTGTTTCCCCAAATGGCACTATTTATCTATACTGCCAACATCAGGGTATGGGAAACCTATTTGCTGCATCTTGGTTAACACCATTATCAATCTTTTCTATATTTTAACAACTCGAAAAGTTTTTGTCAATATTTCATTTGCATTTTCCTGAATATGTGGGCATTTGAACAACTTGTGCCTTGTGTTGTCACTTTAATAGTCTATTTCTTGTTTATTTATAAAAATATTTTAATAATATGAATACTACTTTGCCTATTATATATGTTATACTTACTTTCCCCAAATATGTTGTATCTTTTAAACTTGTTTATTCAGCTGTTATCAGGGATGATTTTATTTCTATATTGTCAGATGTAAGCCTTCCTATTCCAACTTGGTAAATCTACCTCAATGAAGAGAATAAAAGAAAATTGTATTTATACTTTCTATTATATTTACCTGTATAATTACTTTTACCTGTGCTGTATTTCTTTATGTGCATTCAGATTATCATCTGATACCATTTCCTTCCATCCTGAAGAACTTCCTTCAGTATGTCGTATGAGGCTTCTTCCAGCAATGGATTTTCTCCATCTGAGTTTATGTGAAAATGACATTATTTTACCTTCTGAGAGGAACATTTTTCTGAGCAGCTTCCAGTCAAGGCAAAGGATTAATGGCTGGAAGCAGGTGGGTCCTATCTTTGTACTTGTCACACAGTTATTAAATATTCTGGTCCCCCTTTCAGTCTTTGTTCCCTCTGCTTTTCATTTTCTAAGGATTCTATTGCTATATCCTCCAGCTCAGAGATTTTTCCTCAGTTGTGTCCAATCTACTCATAACCCATCAAAGTAATTCTTTATTTCTGACAATGAAATTATTTCACCTTCTGAGGGGAACATTTTGCTGAGCAGCTTCCGTTAAGGCAAAAGATTAATGGAAACAAAACAGATGTGTCACTTAGAGTGAAGACCACCATGGACACTGAGATATGGATGGACAGCCTGGCTGGAAGCAGGTGGGTCCTATCTTAGATGGCAAAGACTCAGAGCCAGGGTTGGTGGATGGCTAGGGTTGCTGGAACGAAGCTCCACAAACGAGGTGACTTACAAAACAGAAATTACTTGTTTCACAGTCCAGGCCAGAAGTCCATAATCAAGTAGAAGAAAGAGAGAAAAGAGCACAAGAAAGATCTGTGCAGCCCATGAGGCACAAAGGAAAACAGGAAGAAAGAAAAGGCAAGCATATTTGAAAAGAAAAGAAACTATATAGCAAATTTTATAAAACTCTACAATTTCAAAAAGCTATTATAACTAATTAGTTAGACAAATGTGTAAGATACAGACTAAGAATACAAAAATACACAGTGCCCATACATTAACAATAAACCATCAAAATTAAAATTGTTATATATCTATAATATCTATAATATATTATATATACCATATATATCTATAATTATATTTATTATATCATATAATGTATATTATATATTATAATATATAATAATATATAACATAATATGTATTATGTTATATATTATATTATAACACATATATTATATATATCCACGTACAGTCTATAATAACATCAACAATTAAGATTATTAGGGGAAAATCTGACAAAAAATATGCAAGACTTCTACCCTGAAAGATACCAAAATACCTTTAAAAAGATGGTCATCTTACCGTCTGTTACAACATGAATGAATCTGGAGGAAAATATGCTAAGTAAGCCAGACACAGAAGAACAAATTCTACATGATTCCTTTTATTAGAAATCTGAAATAGCCAAACTCATAGAGGCAGAGGATAAAATGGTAATTACTGAGGGTTGGGGGTGGAGGTAATGGGGAGGTATTAGTCAAAGGGTACAAAGTTTCAGCTCTGCAAGATGAATAAATCTTAGAGATCTACTGTAGAAATAGTACAATAGTTAACAATATTGTATAAGTTGCTAAGAGAGTGGATTTATGTTGTTTTTTGTCACAAAAATAAATAAATAAAACTTTAGACATAAAGAGAGTGGGAAAAAACTTCTGGAGGTGATGAATATGTTTACAGCATTGATTGTGGTGATGGTTTCACAAGTGTATTCTTTCTCCAAACTCTCATCAAGTTGTACACATTAAATATACACAGCTTTTTGTATGTCAATTTACTTCAGTAAAGTGATTTTTTTTTAAATCAATGCAGTTGACTTCATAATATTAAAAATATTTCTTTTTTAAATGTCACTGTTAGGAAAATAGAAACAGAAGACAGAAACTGGAAGAAAATGTTTGCAAACCATGTATTTAACAAAAGACTTGTATCTGGAATATATTTAAAAACTCACAATTTAATAATAGGGTAAACACCTAATTTGTTTTTAATGGGCCAAAGTTTTGAAAAAACACTTCAACAAAGGAAACATACATATGGTAAATAAGCCCATGAAAAAAATACTCAGTGTCACTAGTCATAAGGGATATGCAACAAGGCATGTACATATCTGCCAGGAAGGCTAAAATAAAATGCCTTACCACACCAAGTATTGGCAAGGGTTTGGAGTCACTGGAATTCTCATACACTGCTATTGGGAAAGTAAAGGGTACAATCACTCAGAAAACAGTTTTATTGTTTCTTAAAAATTAAGGATGCACTTATCATAAAACCCAGCAATTCCACTCCTAGGTATTAACCTCAAAGAAATAAAAATGTATGTTCATACAAATCCTTATAAATGAGTGTCCATAATAGTTTGGAAAATATTAATTGGGGAAAAAAATTCCAAGAGCAGGTCAATGAATAAATGGTGGTATAGCTATACAATGGAATCCTAGGCAGCAATGCAAAGGAATGAAATACTGATAAATGCAACAACATGGATGAATCTCCAAATAAATATGATGAAAGAAACCAGACAAGACAGAGTATGTAATCTGTAATTTATGTTACATAAAACTCCAGAAAATGCAAACTAATCTACAGTAAGAGAAGGAAAGACTGGTGAGAGCCTGCTGCTGTGTGGGGTTGGGATGTGGTAAGAAGGGTTGCAGAGGGGATGAAAAAGGAGCACAGGAGTAGGGCCACGATGGCACTTGGTAGGTGGTGCATATGCTCAATATCTTGATTGTGATACTGGATTCACATTTGTATGCCCATGTCAAAAATTATCAAATTGTACATTTGAAATATACACAGTTTATTATATGTCAAGTATGCTTCAGGAAAGCAGTTTTTTTATTTTTATTATTTATTTTTGTTACAAATATTTCTCCTTTTTCCCCCCATTGACTCCCTCCTCCCAATCCCACCTTCCCCCTCAGCATTATTGTCTATGTCCTTGTTTACACATACATGCGTAACGTTCTGTGGTTTATCTCTTCCCTCCCCTAACATCCACCTCTTCTGAGGTTTGTCAGTCTGGACCCCACTTCCATGTCTTTGGGTCTATTTAGTTCCTCAGCTTGTTTTGTTCATTATATTCCACAAAGAAGTGAGATCATGTGATATTTGTTTTTCTCTGCCTGGCTTATTTTGCTTAGCATAATACTCTCCAGGTCCCTCTATGTCATCTCAAAGATAAAGAGATCTTTCTTTTTTATGGCTGCATAGTATTCCATTGTGTATATGTATCACAGTTTTTTTATCT